TCCCTGGCAGCAGCTGCTTTGGGCTTTCTGACTGCAGAAGGCTGTGAACTGATGGTTAAGCTTGATCTAGGAGCCCCTTCCTGGACTCTGTCCAACCACCCTTCTAACTTGGACTTGTCAGAGCCTCCCTGCCAACCTTTATGGACTGGCCTCAGACACTATTCCTATTATGTGGGTCTTCCCGGGCGTTTTTCCGTGGCTTCAATAGCCTCTATTCCTTCTTTACTCAGCAGACTGGCTACTCCTCCTCTCCTGCATCCCACAGCCTACCTCAAAAACAGCACAAAGCCAGTCTGCGCTAAAATGCCGCCGTGCACTGTAGACTGCACCAGTAACCGGAGCTGATGTTATTTAGCTCTTACCGTCAGGTACCACGCTGCATTTACGTAAAGGCGTTCTCTGCTGTGCACAGCGACTGGCACTCAGGGAATCTGACAGTTTCTATCCCGGGTTTTCCTTTGGGTTCAAACAAGCTAGAGTCGCAATCTCCAAGATGGGTGAGAGTATCTTTGTGGGAAATGTGCAGTACCTTCTATTGACATGCACCTAAGTGTGTGGCCATAGCTGCTGTTTGCATAACCTCACAGGAACAGCAAACATCACTGTGGTTATGAACCCTCTGGGGACTTACAAGTGTATTTACACCTAACTGGTTTAAGCAGAACCCACAGTTAGGTAGCAACCCTCTTCTAGGTGGTTTGTTTGACCTGGGTGTTATTTTAGAGGCGCAGGACCACTGAAGTTGATAGCTGGGAGGGGACTGGGAGCAGGGAGATGGCCATCTCTTACACCACACCTCTGGGGAGACGTGGTGCTCCTCTGTTTACAAAGCAAAATGAAACCTTCGCCTCTCAAAGGCCCCCATCCCCTCTTCAGTTTGCAAAGAACAGGCCTCAGAACAAATTAACTTTGGGATCCGTTGTTTCAAATTCTTTTTGGATTAAGATTCTTTTGGGGCTATAAAAGTTTAAAATTAGAAAGCTTTACTTAAATGTTTTGTTTTTCTCTTTGGAATGATAAAACCCAGCAGGGATTAGGTTCTAAAGTTAGCATTTAGGGGGAGAATGGCACAAAGCTGAAATTACTCTTGGAAGTCCTGTGTGTCCATCACCCACCCAGCAGAGAATGATATACACCAGGTACAGTGGTGGGAAATGTGTAAGTCCTGTAAGAGGACTTGTTCTTGGGGCTTCCCTGGTGGCGCAGCGGTTGAGAGTCTGCCTGCCGATGCAGGGGACGCGGGTTCGTGCCCCGGTCCGGGAGGATCCCACATGCCGCGGAGCGGCTGGGCCCGTGAGCCATGGCCGCTGAGCCTGCGTGTCCGGAGCCTGTGCTCCGCAACGGGAGAGGACACAACAGTGAGAGGCCCGCGTACCGCAAAAAAAAAAAAAAGGACTTGTTCTTGCTGAATGATGAGCAGTGTACAGACACCAAGACTCGGGGCATAGCAGATCGCATCATCTAGTTAATTGGGGCAGAATCACTTGTGCTGTTTAAATTATTTCCCTCCCTTATGTCCACCCTCTGCCCCCCATCAGAAAATCAAACAGCTGCTTTACCAACTGTTTTCAGATGTCTATTAAGTAGTATGAAGAGGCTGATACAGATTCAAAATCAATTAGTTGCCAATCAGTAAAATGTAGAGCGAAGTTGTATTTGTGTTGGTCCCCTGTCCATTAGAAGGGGAAATGGCCCGTTTGTATAACTGAGTGTTTGCAGTCCAGTGGGAGGATAGAGATGGAGCCAGGCCTGGGCACACCCGGCTTCCGTATTCTGGGACTGAGCTGTTGGCCTTCTCTGCTCTACCTCACCAAGCCTCCTGTATGGGCAGCCAAGCATGATTCTGCTGCAGGGTGCATGGACTGCCACAAACCTCCTTCCACCCCAGCCCTGATTGATTCTTCTTCTAAGCAGAGATGGTGCTTTGGCTGCCCTGGCACCTAAGCTGGGACCTCTTGCATGATCTTATCCTTTTCCAAGGCCAGGAGTCTCACTTTCAGGCTTCCAGTGTGTGCTCTGCAGAGGCTCTTTATTGTGTACCTTCTCAACAGGAAACTGCTGACACACCCAAAAAGAGTGAATTCAAGGAGGGTTTATTACAAGTGTGTAGATAGATACAGGGGCAAGCCTTTCCCAATTTTTGTGGCCCAGGGCAAGAATACAAATGAACCCTCCTGCAGCCCCTCTGCCCTCTTAATATTTTTCATGCTTATTAGATGAAATAATCTTTTTGTATATCTTGAGTTAAATTCTATTATAAAAATACATTTTACCTATTTCTTTTTACCTTTTTAATGAGACTACCAGAAAGTTTAAAATCAGATGTGTGGGCTACATTAAATATTACATTGGACAGCACTGCTATAGGTCAATGCTTTTATTTTTTTTAAGACATGGCAAGCAGAGGTTCTCCAGAGAGCTCTCCAGAGAAAGGGCATTTATTTAAAAATATTTATTTATTTACTTATATTTTGGCTGCGTTGGGTCTTAGTTGCAGCCCACGTGGGCTCTGTAGTTGCAGCACGTGGGCTCAGTAGTTGTGGTGCACAGGCTTAGGTGCCCCATGGCATGTGGGATCTTAGTTCCCCGACCAGGGATTGAACCCACATCCCCTGCACTGGAAGGCGGATTCTTAACCCCTGGACCACCAGGGAAGTCCTGGTCAGTACTTTTAAAATGTTAATGTACATACGTATTATTGAAATGATTCTGATTCTGATGGCACCCAAGACCCTTCATTTCTCACAAGCTCCCAGGTGATGCTGCAGGTCCTAGGATCACACCATGAGCAGTAGCAACTCCAGAGAAATTAGGTGCTAAAGATCTTGGGTGTAGTATATCAGAGACCTCTGCGGGAGCTCTCCAGCTCTTCGCAGGCTTTTTCTCAAAGGCCATCAATGCAGTAGAACTCCCAACTTAAGCCAGTACCAGTGCCCCTGAGCCAGAAAATAGGGGCACCAGCCTGTGGGTGGGTGCTAGACGTGGTCCTTACTACTCTGAAGGCAACTATTACGCTGCTGACACAGAAGATCATTCATTAATCAACTTTGGATTGGGAGGTGTGTCCCTGCCACCTACTGTTTCCAAACCACTTGCCACTTTCTTACCGAAATCTAGAGCCGCCTACTTGCTTATGCTGTAGAAATGTCTTCCTGATAATGTTTTAAATTTAGGGAAATAAGTTGCTGAGGGTAGGAGAGCCCTTTCCTCAAAATCCAGGTGTCTTCTGAAGTCATACAGTAAATGCCAGAAAACCACACCCAAAAGGGGAGATGAAGAACAAGCTGATATGCACCTGGAGGTTATTAATGCCTTCATGATGCTGAGCTGCTTCCACTCCACTGACTCCAGCCCACTTTTCAACACTTACCTAGTGCTGGCAGATACCGCCTGCCTATTTCTCACTTTTTTAAAGGGACCATTTGAATTCTCCATCAGATTTTCTCCCCACCAGACTATCCCTCACTCCTTCCCAGAAAAAGCACAACAAAGAAGTCACTGATGTGGCTCTTGCTGTTTTACCATCCCTTTTCTTCTAGAAAAGACTGTCCCACTGGTGGTTTCTGGGTTTTTGTTTTTGTTTTTTTAAAAAGGGACTTCCCTGGTGGTCCAGTGGTAAAGAATCCACCTTACGACGCAGGGGATGCGGGTTTGATCCCTGGTTGGGGAACTAAGATCCCACATGCCGCGGTGCAACTAAGCTGCGCGCTACAACTGAGCTCTCACACCTCAACTGGAGCCCGCGTGCCGCCAACTACAGAGCCCAGGCGCCCTGGAGCCTGTGCGCCACAACTAGAGAGAAGCCCGCGCAACACAACGAAAGATCCCGCATACGGCAACTGAGACCCCACGCAGCCAAAGATAATAAATAAATCTTAAAAAAAAAAAAAAAAAAAAAGAAATCCACTTCACCTATGTAAAACTCTTAAGCAGATGGTGAACCCTTTTTCCAGGGTATTTTCTCACCAGATCCTTGGAATGGGGTGCTAGTGGTGGCTTTCTCTCACTGAGTGTTTCATAGCTGGGATTCAGATAACTTGCCCAAAAGCCAGTTTCAAATTTCCTGGTACATTTTGTTGAAGCAATTTTCAAATCACCTCCCAACCACTAAGGACAAAGTTATCCTTAGTTCTTTCCATCTGCTTCAACCTGATTCCTGCATCGATCATGAAGTAACTTTTGAGGGCTGGGAATCTATGGGTACACACAGAGATGGGAGCGTGTTTTTAACTGTTACCCAGGGAGGTCGAAGGACTAACACTGAAGCACATGCCCTATTCAGGAACCCTTTCATTTCCTTGCCTGTTCTGCTGCTGCTGGCTGGCCTTCTCCTGCAGGTAAAGGAGTACGATGACCATGGCAACAGTTCCTTGGTACTTCTCTGAGTTGGTCTTGCTGTTCCACAGTAATCACTCTTGGTATCCCTCATCCACCTTGCAGGTGGCCCCTCTCCATAATAATCTAACCTGAAAGGTACAGATTATCCATCTGGGAGAGACTACACAGTTATTAAAACAAAACAAAACAAAACACAGAGGGGAGGGATTCTCCAAAAATACTCTGTTCTCTCAGCTTGACAGATCCCCTCTAACACTGCCCTTTATCTCGTCCTGAAGAAAGCCTAGGCAAATTCCATACGGGCAACCTAGAAGGCCCCATCTCTCCCTCCCTCCCTCCGTAAGGGGCTGTTGCAATACACCAGAAGTCACTGCCAGAGACTTGCATCAAATGATGGCTACAGGAGAAAAATGCATCTTTAGAGAAAGATGTAACTGGTAAGCGACCGATTTTCGAGCTTACTAAAGATGGACCATTATTGTTAATACTACTATAATTTTAAAAAAGTATTAACAGGCATTTTCCATTACCTGGCAAAAAATTCTTAAAAAAAAAAATTATCCTCTAATTTGTATAAAATACTCCAGAGTTAGATCTCATTCTTGCTACCCTCAATGTATTCAGTAGAAATGAATAATCAGAGCTTGAAAAAGACACACATATTTGCAAAGTACTGTTAAAAGATTTATTGCAATAATACAATAATAGTTTAGAAAACATTTGTATGACTCAAACTGGTTTGGAAGTCGCAGAGCAGTGGGGAATCCCTGCAACATGACGCCCCAAGGAGATTCTTTAACAGCATGCCACCAAATGTTCTTCCCCAAATTATTAATACACGACTCCTTAAATGAATCCTGTCCACTCCCCAATGTTGACACTGTTTTTCCCCTTAACTTACAGATGTGCAAAACTTTCCTTGGTTATACTCCATTACAAAAAAAGTCTTTAACAGACCATTTTAAGCAGCCTACTTGGTGCCTGTGAGTTTTTTTAGTATGACCTTGTTTCAACAAATCGTCTTATGATGGAAAACATGACCAAGTTCTCTGGCTTGTTGTTTTAAAAAAAAAATACCAGCTTCAATTTTTTAAAAAGCTGTTTACATATGGTTCTGGCACCTACACGAAAGATTTTAATGAGCAGCAAAGACAGTAGAAAAAACAGTGGTTGAAATGTATATTTAAGAATATTTACAGGGTGGATCCAGTGCAAAATAATGAAAACCAAAATATCTCAGCAGTGTAAGCCAGTATGTTGGTGTTCAAAACCATTAAAGGTTTGATCATTTAACCCTAAGTAAAGTGCCTCCAGTTGATATTAACAACAAAACATACCCTACCAATCCCTACATTTCCCATATCCTTGTAAGTTTTGTTGAATTACTCTGGTTTGCGATCTCATGGTTTCGTCAGAGGAATACTTGAGACAAATCATGACTGTTGTGCATCTTTCAGCTGACGTCATTCCCTACACCCAAGCCCCGAATCCCAGTGTTCCAACTCTTAAGACTAAGCTCTCCTTTCTGAGGGTTTGAGTGCCTAGACAACTCTTATGGGATTTTAAGTTCATTTGGTATTTGTTAAAGTCTACCACAGCCTCTCTCTATGAACTACACTACAGACCTGGATGGGACAATGCAACCCAGCAATCATGAAGCCCAGCACTTAAAACAGATACTGGCTGTATAAGAACCCACAAGGAGAAAAGCCTGTTTCCTCCCTAAGTGGAAAATTTACAGTCAGGAAACTTGGGACTCCTGGATAGGAATAAACACCCTTCTGCAATTCTATCCCAAACTCTACCCAAACACTAAATATACCAACAGCAAGAGCTATATATAGCACCTCGGATTTGGAGGCAAAGTATCAACTATAATAATTATGAGAAAAGAAGCTATAGGGCAGGGCAAACCTCCAAGTGATTTATGAGGTACTGTCATGCTAATCACACTAACAAGATATGGTAATAATGCCTGTTAGGAATTTTTCATTGGATTTCACTTTGTAGTTGTTATAGATTTCTTTTTGCAGTTACTAAAAATAAAAATCTACTTACATATTTGTACATAATGCCTCTCTACAGTTTTCTTACAAGATTGTCACTAAGAGAATGACAAGACACATTAGCTGAAAAGGATCTCCTGGTGAGGGAAAATTCTTTCCATCAGAGCTTTCCCAGGATACAGAAGAGCAGTATTAGCTGTAATGCTGTGCTCTGCATTTCAGAGCAAAGGTAGTGTCTTTAGAGCAACAAAGACCTCTAGGAAACAAACAAGCAGGGTGGTTTTCCCTAGAAAAACCTGCCACTTACTAAATCCCTTAGAAAGAAACCAGACACCAGAAAAATGACCATAGGCCACTGCAGTGGCTTTTAACCTGTGCCCAGGCAGGAATTTAGCTTCCATAAGGGAACAACCTTAGTCACTTACTTTTCACTCACAGAAAATAAGTTCAGTTTCAAAATGCACATAGTGTGGATGGTAGGAATTCAATAATCTAGGTACGAATGAACTTAATTCCCCTCAAAATCCAAGGAAATAGTTTTTAAGTCTTTAGGACATTACTGCAGCCAGGATTTCTTCCCTTCGTGGATGTGGGTCCTACAGAAAAAAAGACCTTAGTTTCTTTGCTCTGTGGGGAGAAAGAAAACAAGAATGTCCAACAGGCCACAAGAGAGCGGCACAAGTGAAATCATTTTTTAAACTACCTCTCCCCTACCAAAAGAAACCCCTACCCTTTAAAAACAAGACAAAAATCCTTGACCTAAAAACCAAGCGTGACCAAATTATAAAGAAAACAAGTGTTTCAAACTGCCTGCTTGTTCTCTGTACAAAAAATAATGGCATAAAAACAAACTCATAGTAAACAGTTTTTATCTTTCAAATCCTAACCATCAGGAATCACTTCCTTGTGATTCAACCTCTGAAGCAAAGTGTTTAGGAACAGTCTTAGCATCACAGGGACCGCCATGGCAGCCACGTCTGTGGGACCAACGGCCTGTGGTTGGAAGGGGTTCTGTGTGTTTCTGCCTCAAAAGAACTGGCCATGCACACAGGGCCTTCCTCCACCAGCGCTGGTCTGGGAGAAGGGCCTGTGACCCCTCTGTTCTGTTAATTATCATAAGCATGTCAGTCACCACCATGGCCCAATCGACAAAGAGAAATGCTCGTCTCCCTGTTTTAAAAAAACCCAACAGCTTAACCTCTTTCTGTTCCAGGCACTATCTTAGCTAAACACGTAACGTTTACTATGGCATGGAGTCAGATCTTTCTCCAGGCCCATCTGGTGCGTCTCAGTTCCTGCTCGTTAACGGTGTCCAGTGTAAGCTTTAAACCAGGAGGTGACGGAGGCCGCGGCAGAGGAGATCATCCCACCGGCACTGCTGCTCGCAATGGGCGGGGACGCCTGGGTGCTCTGGCTCTCGGAGACTTCCACGGGCTGGGAAGGAATGTCACAGAACCGGGGGCTGGGCAGGTTCTCCCAGTCGGTGCCCAGGTCGGTTTCCTCGTCACTTACGTGCTCGTCTCCACTCTCGTCTGATTCTCCAGCAACTCCGGGATCCACAAACTCCATGGACTCCTCCAGATCTGCTCGCACTTCAAAGGGTCCCGACCTGTGTGCAGACAGGGAGGGCCCCTTTAAGACAAGCACCCCTCTCGCAACATAAGACCCGATGGGACGGGGCAGGCCCAGAGCCGTCACCACACCCACGACTGGTCTAGAATGGAGCTTTTCTTTACCTAAATAATAATGGCCATCCAAGTAATGAAAAAAAACACCACACCACACTTTCCCTCAACTCAACCTACTTGGGAAGACCCTGGATGGAAAAAACCCATCCGCTGAGACTAGGCATGCTGGTCCAACATACGATTTCCTGTTTCAAGCCACCACAGTATCCATGCATGCCAATGGGAGAATTGGGGCAAAAACAGTCACCTGATGCACACACAGGCATATCAGTGAACAATAAAACCGTACAGGTGTTCTCTCTCCGCCTCGTGGAAGCCCCCAGTTAGTAAACTCTTACGACTCACAGGGGCTAAATGATAGGGTTGTATGCATGTTAGCAAAGCTTCCTTGGATTAGTGCACACATTTTAAGGTATCATTACATAATTTTCTAGGGACACATTTACAGCACTGAATGAGATACAACTATTTAGAACATATTCATCTGGAATAGTGCATATTTCTGCACTATATTTCAGGAGAAAACTATTTTTATTTCCCAAAGGTCCCTAATGACATCATCACCTCCAAGTCAGGCCTCATCCCCTGTGACCACCCCTCAGTGCCACTGTGGAACCCTTGTGAGCAAACTCCACACAGCCCCTGCTGCTCTTCCGTGCCCCCTTTCTAGCTCCTGCCTCAGGGGAGCCAGGCTGCATTTCCTTTGGGTGGGCAGTCACCCCACCTACTGCCCCTCCAGGGGGGTTCCCTGCAGCCAGCTACAGGGTGGGACCACATCACTCCAGCAGCCTCCCCCCTGTTGTCCCCAAGATAAGGACACAATGCCTTGGTTCACTTAAGAGTTTCACTGACAGTTACTTTGGGGAAAGTGACAGACATTAGCAAAAACAACAGACATGAGAAATAACTTAGAATTGTACAGCCTGTCATTTTAGTCTATGGTCCAAACTTCTCTGCAGCCTTTATGATGATAAAAGCCTAGCGCTGGCCTCCAGTGCACCTCACCAGACCTGTACCTTCTGACTCACTTTTCCCAGGGTCAAGCAACCTTCATTCTTCTAAGACAACCCTGCTTCCCAGCTAAAATACAGCAATAGCATATAGCCAGCATTTCTGTTCCAGGCACTGGAGTCCCCGTTGGCCTCTCAGATGTCTGAGCCAACCAGTCTCAAAACACAAGCCAGCGGGGGTTCTTCCCCTCCTCCCTCACGCTCCCGCCCGCTATGACCAAATAAGCCCCCTTTCCACCCTGTGTCCCCCCAGCTCAGGCCCTCACTGCACCCCCTCCTCCTCCTCGCTGGGGTCTCACCTCCTCCGGTCAGTCTCCCTCCACCCCAGCAGCTTGCTGAGAGCTGCCTCCACCCCTCTCCTCATGGCAGCTGCCTACCAAAACATGGTCACAATGTTAAGTGCCTTAGCTGGGCTCCCTCTTTTCCTGAACACAAAGCTCTTGGATTCTGTTCTGTTCAGCTTCACTGTCCAGGGGGCCTCAGCATCTACTGCCAGGTTTCATCTCCCAAACCCCCCAGGCTCCCTCATAACCCAGGTCAGCTCTCCACTGCAGTCACTTCCTTGCTGCCAGCCCAAGAAGCACAGCCTGTTTTCTGTTCCTATTTGATGCTGCCAGATCTCCTCTTGGGATCCCTCTCAGCATGAGACTGCCATCACCTCCAGGCCCTCTCTTTAAGGGTTTTCCCAGGAAACAGGCAGGAGTGATACACGGTGGGGGGCGGGGGGGGGATGACACTCCCTCCAGGCAGAGCTCCCTGCCAGAAGCCACGGGGACTCCAGTTCTCTGCTTGGAACTGCATAGGGCAGAGTCCAGCTGGCCTGGAGAAGGTGCCCTAATGAAAAAACTATAGGGAGGGAGGGAGGGAAGCACAAGAGGGAGGGGATATGGGGATATATATATATATATATATATATGTATAGCTGATTCACTGTTATAAAGCAGAAACTACCACACCATTGTCAAACAACTGTACTCCAATAAAGATGTTAAAAAAAAAAGAAAGAAAAGAAAAAACTAGTAAATGATTCCCAAAGTGGCCAGTATGAACAATTTTAGTTCCAACGAGTAACCTACATTTGTGAGGACCTGTGAGAGCAGAAGACGTTTCTCCACTCAGCCTCTGTCCTATCACTTCTAGCTTAGAGATCTATTATCTGCCCAGCATACCCCAAGCCACACACACACCCCACACAAAATTAACTAGCAAAAGAATTAAGTCTTTTCACTTAATGGCTTTGGGAATAAAGATTTTCAAATCATTCCTTCAGTTTTCAGTTTAGCTGAATAACTGATATCTTTTTATTCAGGACTCTGAAGCCAAGAGTACTCATTTTTTCATGATGCTGTCGGGGGTTATTCTCATCGATTAAGGCAACAAAATGTTCTTTTTGGCTTTTAGGAAGTCTCTTTTGCAAAATATTTCAAAAATATTATATGATAGAATATACAACCTCAAGAGTGAACCCTACTGTAAACTATAAACTTTGGATAAAAATGATGTGTTAGGGGCTTCCCTGGTGGCGCAGTGGTTGAGAGTCCGCCTGCCGATGCAGGGGACACGGGTTCGTGCCCCGGTCCGGGAGGATCCCACATGCTGTGGAGCGGCTGGGCCCGTGAGCCATGGCCGCTGAGCCTGTGCGTCTGGAGCCTGTGCTCCGCAATGGGAGGGGCCGCAACAGTGAGAGGCCCGCGTACCGCAAAAAAAAAAAAAAAAAAAAAATGATGTGTTAATCATGGTAAAGACTGGATCAGGTAAGAAAAATCAATAGATATTAAATCCAGGGGGAAATTCTGATGAGGATAACTGCATGGTCTCAAAGTGTCTCCCAACTAACTGCTTATTAGTTGCAAGGAAGGAAAAATATAGGAATTGTACAGAGAAGGTAGAAAGCATCTTGGCTGGGTGATCAAATTAGCATCACCAATGAGGGACAGATGGCCACTGTGGGCCTCTGGATGTGACACCCATGAGACATTCACCTAGGCAGCATTCCAGCCTGGAATGTATAACCTGATCTCATTTCAAGGAAACATCAGAATAAAAGTTCTATTAAAAAAGAAGGAAAAAACAGTAATGTCATGAAAAACAAACGAGGCTGTGAAAATGTTCCAGATTTAAAGGTTAAAGAAACATAGCAACTAAACACAACATCCAACTCAAGACTGGACCCTGTACTTGGGGTGAGGCGCTATAAAGGACATTTTTGGTCCACTGACAAAATGTGCATATGGCAGTATTGTATCAATGTTAAATTTGCTGATGTTGGTAACTGTACTGTGGTTAAAAGCAAGAAAATATCCCTATTTAAAAAAAATACATATTGAAGTATTTAAGGGTCAACAGCCATGATGTATGTAACTTATCCTCATAGGGTTCAGAAAAAAAAAGTTTTTGGGGTATGTATGTGTATTTATGAAGGTAAGAGAGACAGAGAAACTGCACAAATGATAAGCAAACATGGTAAAAATACCAGCAAAGGTGAATCTGGGCAAAGGGTATATGTGTCTTTGTACTATTTTTATTTTTTGCAATTTTTCTGTAAGTTTGAATTTATTTCAAAGAAAAACAAAGTTTATGTTGCGTTCAGGACGGGATCCTCAGTTCAGCCGGTCTCAATGGAAGCAGGAAGTCTCACCGAGGCTTATTAACAACCTCTCTAAAGCCTTGATCCTGACTGAGGCAGGTGTGAAAGGGGCCTCCTGAGGCTTACCTCCTGACCTCCTGGCTCACAGACATGAACTCGACAGCCTGGCTGTGCACGTGTACTCCTGCTGGACAGAGCCCTCTAAATGGAGAGCTGACTTGAGGGCAGCCCAAAGAAAACTTCAGACCCACCAAAGAAATCCAGCCCTAAAAGAAAGGTGTTTGTTTTCCTAAACAACCAGCAACACTGGGTTACCATCAATCCTTTCCATTTTTGCCCAACTGATGGCTGAAAACTAGAAAGCTGTTTAAAAGTGCATTTCTTTATTCTTGACTGAGGCTGAAGATTTTTTTCCATTTGAATACTGACTACTTGCACTTCTTTTGTGTGAAATGCCTGCCTGAATCCTTTGTCTATTTTTCTATTAGGTTTACCTTTCTTTTATGGATTTGAAAGATTTTAAGTAGTCTAGACTTTAATCCGTTGTCTATCATAAAGGTTGCAAAACATACCTGTTGCTTGTCTTTTAACTTTGTTTATGGTATCTTTTACCAAAGACATTTTGTTTTGACACAGTAAAATGTGTAACTCCTTTCCTTTCTGGTTTTTGGGTTTTGTAGCTTGCTTGGGAATTCCCTCCCCACCCTGTGATTATAAAAATCATCTTTTCTCCTAGTTATTTTACAGGTTTTATTAAAAAATAAAGTAATAAGGTCTTTCATATCATCTGGAATTTATTTTTACATATGGAATGCAGTATGATTCCAACTTTTCCCCACATAAATACCCAACTGGCCCACCACCACTGAGCTGCTATTATCCAATTCAACATGCCACCCTATCATCTATTATATTCCTACATACATAAGGGCCTGTTTTTGGCCTCTTTATTTTCTTCCTCTAACTGCTCCACCTATTTGCATGCTAACAGCAGATAATAAAGGTTTTAATTACCTTTATACTATGTTTTAAAAGGGGCCAAGCCCATCCCTTATTATTCTTTTTCAAAATTTCCTTTCAGACTGTGCTTTTAGTTGAACTTTGGAATCAGCTTAACAAAGTTCCATGAAATATCTGTTGAAATTCTGATCAGGTTTCCTTTTGGGCAGAAGTGGCATTTTTACCACACTGAGGCTTCCCATCCTAAAAAATCCTAAGGGTCTTCGCGGCATTGGGCTTACTTTCATTCAGTCCCATACCTCATACAGTGCTAGACATTCAGGAAATACATGCTGAATAATTTTTTTTTAAGTTTCATATTTTCTTTATACAGGTTTACAAATATTTTGTAAGGATTATTCTTATATAATTTATAGTTTTTGTTGCTACAATAAAAGGGACCTTTTTTCCATTACATTTTCTAACTAGTTGTTGTTGGCATATAAGAAAGCAATTGGTCTTTGTATGTTGAGCTTGTATCTAGGCACCATACTGAACTATCATTTCTAAGAGTTTCTTACTTCTCTTGGATAACCAGTTCAATAATCACACCATCTACCAATCTCACCTTCTTTCCAATATAAACACACCTTACTTCTTTGTAAAAATCTTTTGCCTTGGCTAGGCCTCCACAGCAATGTTAACATAGCAGTGACAGTAGGCATTCTTGGCTTCTCCTGACTGTAAATATCAATGTAAGTAACATGTCATTAAATATAGTAGTTTTTGCTGTAGGTTTGTAGTAAGTATCCTTTATTAATAACCTATTTTTAATTTGCTAATTGTTTTCCTTTAATTATTAATGGGAACTGAATTTTATTCATTGCTTTTCTCCCATCAATCAGGTTGATCTTATGCAGGTAAAGCAGAAGGCACAGTGTCAATAAATACTGGCTCAATAAATATTAGCTGTTATTATTAAGGATAAATTTCCTAACGTGGAATGCTTTACAAATAATGTATAGAGAGGATGGCAAGCAAACTCACAGGAATCAACCACTAAAAACGGGATGGATTTCTAACAGGTTTCTGAGGCTTATAAACTAATGAATGGGATTTGGGGTGAGGAGAATGAACTCCCTCTAAAATGGCACGAAATTCTAGGTGGATGTGTAGTTTCCTGGAGAGATTTCACAGCTTTTCCCAGAGGGGTCTGTGTCCCAGAAAAGTTAACTATGGTTTTAAATGGGGGGGTGTTGAGGAAGAGAAGAAACACAAAACAAGGTTAAGGGCAGATTACCAAGGATAAATTCACTGCAACATGGAGGGGGTCTCCCCTTGAGCCACGGTTCCAGTGTCAAAGAAAATGAATGATGGGGAAGGGAGTCCCAAAAGAACTTTCCCACCTTTTGTTTTACTTTCTTCTCTTTCAAAAGTTCAAATACATTAACCGAGTCATATCTGCAGAAATGTATAGAGACACTGCTCAGAGCAAGGGAAAAAGATAAGCACCCAGAGAATGGGTCTTGTTTGGTCCCAAAGATAAGCCTCATCTACGTCATGCTTTTAAGGGCTGAGAGACTAAACAGATCCCATAGACCAGTCCTGATTGGTCTTTTTTGTTACTTACTCCTGTTTTTTAAGATAATGGATTTCAAACTAGTTCATCTCATAAACTTCTCATACCCTTTATCTCCAACAAATGGTGGCCAGATGGACTCAGTGACAAAAAGAAAATTGTGAAGAATTGTTATGATGGGAAGGAATGAACAGGCACAAAAGAAAATGCACAAGAATCAGGAGAGACACTAGGCAGAGCTAAGGAAGAATCAGATGTGGATTCAAAGTAACAGATTTTGGTCTTCAGGGACAGCACGAGAAGTCCCTCCTCCAGGAATATAAGGGTTCTTCTATTCTGTTTTAGGTGTTAAAAATGTTTGATACTAATTTCCTCTGAGAAATGATTATGTAAGGACCATAAGGGATCAAATATGACTTTGTTTCCTTCCATACAGGACTGTGTTATCTTTGTCCCTTCTGGAGAGTTTGGGGCTTGGGATCAGGCCCCTGTTCTATGCCCACACATACAGCAACTCTACTTAAAAGTCATCATAACACCACCACTTAGAGAAAAGTAATAAACACCCTTCTTACCTGCCTAGGTGTTCAGCGTTCGGACTGACCAAGTACATTAGATTCCTGAGAGTATGCAGTGGTTGTAATTGATCTAAGTTTACATGCTAGAAAAAGAAAAAACTGATTAATATTTTCAACCATGTAACAAATTAAAAATTAGCTCACAGCGTTATTTTCCATACCTGAGAAAAGCACAGGTAAAGAATATTTGTATTCAGTTTCTTCACTGCTCGAGTAAATTTCTGTTTGCTGAGGTTTTCTCCACAAAATTCACTGTAAAATAATGTACGATTTGTAAAGTTGTGATTTTTGAAGAAATTCTATGTTAAAATGTTCATTTTGAAGAGTATGCTTTACACTACAGTTCAGTACAAAACATACCCCATGTCCTTTGCTCTTAATAAATTACACTTAACAGAAACTCTTCTAAGGATGAGCTACTGCTGTCATAGCAATTTCACCACATCCATAAAATTACAAACGCACATATCTTTTGACCAAGCAATCCTACTTCTGAAAACTCACTCTACACAAATGCTTGCACACTAATAAAGCAACGAATGTACATATTATTCCTTGAAGTATAAATTGGGGACAGAGCAGACCAGTATGATCTTGGTACATCTGCACAAACAAAAACTTTGCTACTATCCACGTTAGGCAGAGTGACAGCTGAAAGCCAACGATGGCCCTATAAGGCGCCACAGAATCTACAGCCTCCTGTCCCTGCTGCCTCGTTCTCTCACCCCGGGCTCTGCACCTGCCCTTCTCCTTGCCCAGGGATCCCTGTGGCCTGCTCCCGGCCTCCCCCAGGTTGACATGTGATTCCACACCTACCCAGTCAGACGTGGTAAACCCTTCCTTGCCCTCACAGGCCCGCTCTTTCATCTGCTCTAATGGTCGCCCGAGCACTCATCACCACCTGATGTACCGTTCGTTTATCATGTGTCTCTCCATTAAAGTTAAGTGTCAGAAGGGCAGAGGTTACGTTTTCATCACCACTGTACCCCCTCAGTGCCTAGAACAGTGCCTAGCACATAGCAGGTGCTCAACAAATCTTCGTAAATAAATAACAAATTTAAAAAGCAAGGTGCAAAACACCTTAGTTTAGCATGATACCTTTTGTGTTTAAAGGGGGGTGGTGGTAGGTAATAACACACATTAATATTTACTTGAAATGCAAGGATAACTGGAGGGAGACAGGAAGGTCTTCGTAGGAACTCGGTGGACTATAAACCTTTACAATTTAAAAAAAACTTTAAACCACATGTTTTTCATTAAAAAAAAAATCGAAGTGTTACAATTTATCCAGTTCTTACACATAAGCATGCCCTCTGAATATCCTGGTTTTCCCTTAAATTATCTTTTCACATGGGAGAATTCCACAGTCTTTTCAAAGACGTCATGTGCAATTGTAAGATAATGACACAAATTTGCACGTTGGCTTATGAAATCAATCTCAATATTTCATGGTCAGACCTTTTCTCTCTTGATAATACTTAAATTCTTGTTTTTGTTTTAATTAGAGAACACAATAGGAACATAAGAGAGCCATGATAAAGATGACATCACCGTCTTCAATTACTTGCCTGTTGCACAGCTTTTTGGGAAGATTTACGTCGAGTATATGAGACAAAATGTTGACCAGCTGAGTCGCATAGCACAACGCAGCGCTAATCGTGTAAGCAGGGTTATTATGCTCCATATCTAAAGTATAAAAACAAGAGCCTAATCAAGACAGTACGGTACTGGCACAAAAACAGAAATATAGATCAATGGAACAGGATAGAAAGCCCAGAGATAAACCCACGCACATATGGTCACCTTATCTTTGATAAAGAAGGCAGGAATGTACAGTGGAGAAAGGACAGCCTCTTCAATAAGTGATGCTGGGAAAACTGGACAGGTACATGTAAAAGTATGAGATTAGATCACTCCCTAACACCATACACAAAAATAAGCTCAAAATGGATTAAAGACCTAAATGTAAGGCCAGAAACTATCAAACTCTTAGAGGAAAACATACGCAGAACACCCTATGACATAAATCACAGCAAGATCCTTTTTGACCCACCTCCTAGAGAAATGGAAATAAAAACAAAAATAAACAAATGGGACCTAATGAAACTTCAAAGCTTTTGCACAGCAAAGGAAACCATAAACAAGACCAAAAGACAACCCTCAGAATGGGAGAAAATATTTGCAAATGAAGCAACTGACAAAGGATTATTCTCCAAAATTTATAAGCAGCTCATGCAGCTCAATAACAAAAAAACAAACAACCCAATCTAAAAGTGGGCAGAAGACCTAAATAGACATTTCTCCAAAGAAGATATACAGACTGCCAACAAACACATGAAAGAATGCTCAACATCATTAATCATTAGAGAAATGCAAATCAAAACTACAATGAGATATCACCTCACAACAGTCAGAATGGCCATCATCAAAAAATCTACAAACAATAAATGCTGGAGAGGGTGTGGAGAAAACAGAACCCTCTTGCACTGCTGGTGGGAATGTGAATTGGTACAGCCACTATGGAGAACAGTATGGAGGTTCCTTAAAAAACTACAAATAGAACTACCATATGACCCAGCAATCCCACTACTGGGCATATACCCTGAGGAAACCATAATTCAAAAAGAGTCATGTACCAAAATGTTCATTGCAGCACTATTTACAATAGCCAGGAGATGGAAACAACCTAAGTGTCCATCATCAGATGAATGGATAAAGAAGATGTGGCACATATATACAATGGAATATTACTCAGCCATAAAAAGAAACGAAATTGAGCTATTTGTAATGAGGTGGATGGACCTAGAGTCTGTCATACAGAGTGAAGTAAGTCAGAAAGAGAAAGACAAATACCGTATGCTAACACATATATATGGAATTTAAGAAAAAAAAATGTCATGAAGGACCTAGGAGTAAGAGAGGAATAAAGACACAGACCTACTAGAAAATGGACTTGAGGATATGGGGAGGGGGAAGGGTAAGCTGTGACAAAGCGAGAGAGTGGCATGGACATATATACACTACCAAATGTAAAATAGCTAGCTAGTGGGAAGCAGCCACATAGCACAGGGAGATCAGCTCGGTGCTTTATGACCACCTAGAGGGGTGGGATAGGGAGGGTGGGAGGGAGGGAGACGCAAGAGGGAAGAGATATGGGAACATATGTATATGTATAACTGAATCACTTTGTTATAAAGCAGAAACTAACACACCATTGTAAACCAATTATACTCCAATAAAGATGTAAAAAAACAAAAAACAAAAAACAAGAGCCATACACAAACAGCTTTAATTTCAACAAAAATATTAATGAACCTGGATTTTTGTGATTTGTGGTTTTGTCAATACATTATTGATGGCTATGCTTTGCTCTTTAGTAATAAAAGGTCCATGGCCAGACATTAATATTTTATTGTTTATGATTTTTGCTGAGTGGAATGTAAGCTAAGCAAATGGGCCTAAATGGAGCCAGCACAAATGAAACTGATGTCTGAGCTGCTTGGACCTGGTAATGTATTATTTATCCAAACAATTAATGCCCAACTTAAATGTCCCCTCCTCAGAGAGGCCTCCCCTGACTACCCTATGGAGAAATAGTTCCTTCCTCTGTAGCCCCATCCCTGAAGGTGCTGGTTCCGTCGTCCATAGCCCATACTCAGTGTATGATGCCTTTGATCATTACTTGCTTCCCTTCCTCTCCACAGAAAGGCAAAGGGCTACACTTGTCTTGGTGACATCACCTTTGTAGCACCTGCACTGTGCATGACAGAAAGCACATACTCACTAAATACCTGCTGGATGTCTATGTGAATAATCTTTCTCCACCAAAGAGAAGCTACTGAAGTTGTAAAGGGTTTTTCTACTGGGGTATTTCAATCTCCATTTAGGACTGATAAAAAAAGTTCTTTACAAAGTTCGAAACTTATAAAAATGGGACCCAACAGGCTAAATACACTTCTTTAAATAGATCTTTTTATATAAATAAAACAATATTGACCCCAAAAAGGTGAAATGTCTAAAAAAAATACATGTTTTCAGCCCATCCACTGATAGATAAAATGTGGCATATTCATGCAATGGAGTATTATTCAGTCATAGAAAGAATGAAATGCTGATACATGCTACAATGTGGATGAACCTTGAAAACATTATGCTAAATGAAAGAAAGCCAGACACAAAAGGCCACATATTGTATGATCCCATTTATATGAAATATCCAGAAGAGACACCTATAGAGACACAAAGCACAACAGTGGTTCCCAAGGGCTGGGAAGAGGTGGGAATGCGAGTGACTGCTTCAAGCCCCAGAGTTTTTGTTTGGAGTGAAAAAAATGCTTTGGATCTAGACAGAGGTGACGGTTGCACAACACTGTGAATGCACTAAATGCCACTGAATTGCTTCCTCTAAAACTGTTCATTTTGTTAAATAAATTTTACCTCAATTAAAAAAATATATTTATAAAAGTTTTCAAAGACTATCTTGCTTCTCACCAGGTCCCTGCGTGGTTTTCTTCTCTTCCACCCAACTGTAGTAGGCAGAGTAGTCCCCATTGTTGGGAAGGCTAATCCAAGGCCCTGTAATGCTAATGCTGGTGTCCCCGTTGTGATCGTCACAGACCCATCTCCCGGAGAGGTAAGTTGTCCTCCGGGCTTCGGCAAGCTTGCTCACGGTGCTGGAGGTCATGGCACTGTCACCCTCTGAAGACACGTCTGTGGGATCTCTAAGAACCGAAGATGCACATGGATGTCAAGGGGCTGGGCTTTGAAGAGCACACAATTACTTGGCAGATATGCAGAACACTGGGAAGATACACGTGAGGACAGGAATTTTTTTTTCCAGGTACAAGTCATAAATTTTATTAGAAGTTGAGTATCTGTTGAGGACAGGAATTTAATTGGAATATACAGAGGTAAGCAATTCCATCAGAGGTGAAGGTCAAACCAGCTGTGGCACAGAAGCCCACACATGTGAGGAAGATGGCACCATGAACTATGGCTTCAAGTGTTAGGTTCTCAAACTATTTGGTCTCAAGACCCCCCTTACATGCTTAAAACATTTTGAGGATCCCAAAGAGTTTTCTGTATGTGGGTTAGATCTATTAATATTTACTGTATTAGAAATGAGGAAATTTTAAATTATTAACTGATTCAAAAATAAGAAACCCATTACATGTAACACAGCATGTTTTTATGAAAAAAATCTGTATTTTTCAAAAGAAGAAAATTAGCAAAGGGTGACATTATTTGTTTACCAGCTGAGTTCACGGCACAGTGCAGCACTGATCATGACTTTTGAAAAAATCTCTTTAATACCCACGTCTTTCCGTTGTGCTTTCAAGTAGATACAGTGTTCCATGGAAAAACCAACTAGTTTTGCTTACAACTCACTCAAGGGCTCTCCCTTGAGCCACCACAGCTTTCAGCATGCAGCAAATGTGCTTTCTGCAGACTTCCTATCTTGCTGCATGGCACCATCACATGTGCACGCAGGGATCGAGATTTAAATAGAAATTAAATAGAAATTTAAATAGAATGAGTAATTTCTGCTGCTTCATCAATAGTGTTCTTGATGTGAAACTGGCTGGTTTTGTACACCGCAAGGACACTGTGGAACACAACAACGATTACTACACTATGGCGTCACTGCCTTGATATCTGTCAAGACAGAGGTTTTACCCACCACGGCTTTTGAGCCACCAGTGCAAACATCAACAGAGTGAAAAGGGAAAACAAAGTGTTAGTAGTATTATGAAAATAGTTTTTGACTGCACAGACCCCGTGAAAGGGCCTCAGGGACCCAGAGAGGTCCACAGACCACACTTTGAGCACTGCTGGCCTGGAGCATGGAAGGTGAATGAGAAGGCTCGGCAGGTACCGTGCAGGCAGGGGGAAGAACGTGGCGTGTTTGGGGAGCACAGGGATCAGCGTGGTTGCCTGTAGGAGGCATGAAGGAAGTGCCAGGAGGTGGTGTTGGAAGAGGAGGGATGAAATGCACAGGCTGGGAAGAGCCTTCTGTGCTGCGCTAAGTTTAGAATCCATCCTCTTGGCCAGTGGCCCTCAATCTTTCTTCCTCTGCCACCAGGTGCACGTAAGTGCACTCCTACTGGCTGTCCGGACAGGACTGGGGGAGGGCACTGTGGCCAGTTCTAAGCTGTACCTCTACTTCCTCCTTCCACTCAAGGCAGGTTGAGAAGAAATGTGAATGAACAAGAAATCTTATGATAGGGATAACTTCAAAACTATCAGCTTAAAAAAATTCATGACATATAGTAATATATACTAACATACAAGATTTAAACAGCGCAGGCATGGAAGAGTAAGATTTTCTCCACAATTTCTCTCCTGCAACTTTATATTCATTTGTCAGTCTCCTTAGTCTCCTAAAATCTGGAACAGTATCCTAGTCTTTGTTTACTATAATGTGTTCTAACATCGCTATCTGGGCCCATCAGAATTTAATTTGACAGAGTGTTTCTGTCTGTCAGCTTTTTCCCCCTCAAAGCCCTGGCCAGCTGTCTTTACACCAATTTTTGGATAATCCAACTTTTCCCCACTGATTCAAAATGCCACCTTGGGGTCTATTTCTGAGCTGTGAATTCTTCTCTATTTTGCATCTGCCTTTTTATTTTTATATTTGCTAACTATTACTAATGACAAATTACTTGGTAAGAGTCAGAGAGCAGGTCGTCAAGCTAGAAGCAACAATCAGACCTTTAGGCTTTTAGGAAGCCAACTCTGGCAACAGACGAAAGGAAAGACTGAAGCGGAGGCAGCAAACACTAAGTCCTAAGTAGCAACAGTCCACTGACTGTCCAATTCCAGGGAAAGGTGCCGGAAAGTAAGGGTAACCAGAAGAGACAGGGAAATCCTCAGCTGGAATAGCCCGATGGTTAGTCAGAAAGCAATCGAAACTCTTCAGTGGAAGTTTCAGAGCCTAGATGATCACCAGCATCATCTGGGGAAGTTTAAAAAATAAAGTATTATGAGATGAACTAGGAGGCTGGAGCTGTGTCCTCTGGAGCCTGTCTTTTCCTAAAGTTCCTGAGTGACTCTGATGAACAGCCAGGTGGGAACCACCATCCTGTCCACCCCACGGACTCCTGAGGGTGTCTGTGCACTACAGCCAGTGAGACGACCAGTGCCTGACGTGCTGGTTACCAGGAAAAGGCGGAGTCAGCACGTCCTGCCCACCAAGTAAGAGAGCCCGAGGTGTTTTCTTCCATCTTAGCTCATGGTTTCTCTGTGAAGTAGACATTTATTATCCCCATCTAACAGACAAGGAACTAAGGCTTCGAGGCTCAAAAACCTGCCTCACAGCATCTGACTAATGAACAGCTCAAGTGGCCCTGCAGCCACGAGATGGTTCCTGATCAGGGATGTGAGCCTGGCCCTCATCTGGAAGCTCTACAAGTATACAAACCTGGGCCTCACTTCTCCGAGGGCCACCATCCTTCACCCTGGCCACCTCCCCAACTTCCTGCAGTGTTTACTGTTTGCTGAAGCAGGTAAGACTTAAGTTTCATTACCAGGAAAACCCAGAATGAGGCCCAATAAATGTGCTGACATACTTGAAAGATACTTGATCTTTGGAACTTGTATTTTCCTAGAGTCAAAAGACTCACTCACTGTACCTCACACCCGTCTTTACTTCCTCGATTGGAAAAATGACAGAGGTGAGCTCTAATATGTGAGACCGCCGAAGATTTGCCAGACGCTCATAATGACTTCTTAAATCAGTGGTTTTTTTTTCTACCAGGTCACCAAGTTTGCGATTATGCCTCTGAATCTTCTCCTTTTTCTCCTGATGCCGTTGTGCTCGAGTGTAAAGTTTCTGATTCTTTTCCTTGGTTTTGAGGAGACCTTCAGAATCTAAAATAAATAAATCACATCCAACAATGAGCTGTACAAATAGTTCCTGGGTACTGCACACTACCACCGCCCCCCGCCCCCCGCAAAGCATTAAGTGTCTTCCTGCAGTCTAAACTGAAAGCAAAACCTCAATAAAATTAACTACATGACATTCACTAAGTATGGAGACCGGGAGTTTAGTTCAAGTAGGTATTACACACAGAGCAAAGGGGACCACCACTAAAATGACTCTGGGTCTCCATTTGTAATCAACATCAGTGAGCATCACTCAAGACTATCAAGTTTAAGTTTAGCACAGGAAGTACTTGACTTTCTTACAGTAAGCACTGAAGAGCAGCCATGTTGGGCAGAAAAGAGATCTAATTCTAAGTTTGAAAAATTCACTGGCTATCTGGTTTTCCTTAGAAAGCTATTAAGTGTCCCTTGGGCTACATTCAGAGAGCCCAGGGATAATCTCATGGCAGGTGGTCATGCAGCAAAGAAACAGACCAACGCCCTGAAAAGTCACAGTGGAGTGCAGCGCCCCCAGCAGGGTGCGAGCACCTCCCATACACCAGCATTTTAACCACTGTAAGGGTAACCAGAGCCTGGCCATACAACGAGAAAACAGACAGACACTCGTCCTTCCCAACGTATGTTCTTTTTATGAAGGTCCTACAGGTTCTAGATCCCAAGACGTATTATCAAACAGATCAGGTTGTAGCTAAACTTCTCTAGTGTAGCAACAACTGGCTGTAAAATCTCAGACACCCAGGAACAACTTAAGAGGCTCAAATAAGTTTAAAACCAAGCTCATTATCTTTCCTCTTGACACATTTTAAGCTAGGCTCCCTACTTCACAATTATTTCTGACCTGTCCTAAATCAATCTCTCTCTTCTTTTAAATTTATTTATTTATTATTTTTGGCTGCATTGGGTCCTCGTTGCTGCATGCAGGCTTTCTCTAGTTGCGGTGAGCGGGGGCTACTCTTCGTTGCGGTGCTCAGGCTTCTCATTGCGGTGGCTTCTCTTGTTGCGGAGCATGGGCTCTAGGCATGCGGGCTTCAGTAGTTGTGGCTCGTGGGCTCTAGAGCGCAGGCTCAGTAGTTGTGGCGCACGGGCTTAGTTGCTCTGAGGCATGTGGGATCTTCCCAGACCAGGGCTCAAACCCGTGTCCCCTGCATTGGCAGGTGGATTCTTAACCACTGCACCACCAGGGAAGCCCCCCTAAATCAATCTCTTGATGGTCCATTCCATGAGCTGTCCTACAGTTCCGTCCATCTAGGTCTTTCTTTTCATTTCCACTGTCACAATCCTGGTTAACTCTCACCCAAACTCTGCCTGTCTCTAGTTGGTTCCACTCCACACCTCCAACCCCTCTTTCACTGGCTCAGTCTTCATAAAGTACAGCCAGTGCTCAGCGACTCTCCTCTGCCGATCAAACACAGACCAAACTTCTCAGCCTCCCAGCCACCACCAAACTGGTACACACCCCACAGTTCCCTTCTCCACACCCTTCATTCCAGTCTCATTCAATTACTAGATACTTCAAATGAACACACTAAGTAAGCGCACAGATGGATGGATGGATGCCAGACAAGTCGTTCCTTAAATATTTATCTCTATTCTGTTGTTCAAATCAACATCTCTCTAGGAACACTATTTTCTCCTATTCTCCTAATGTCCAGATTGTACTCACTCTTCAAGGCTCCCTCCATAAACACTGCCTAGGCCCCTTGCTCCCAGGAGCTCTATGGTAATGCGTGTGCCTCACCTACAGCACATGGCTCGTAGCTGCTTACACCAGGTCCAGCTGAAGCCTGTTGTCTCCTGACTGCGATATGAGAAGCAGTTGATAAATGTGTGTGGACCGAAACCACCCTCTTCAACTGAGGGCCAACGAACCTAGGTTATTTCATTGCAGGCAGAAAGTTTCTTATGTTTTCTTTCCTCCTCAGATGCGTCTCTTCACCATTCCTGACCAATATGAATGTCCTTAACGTTAAGTCTCTGGTTCTATCACACACTTTCCAGCAAGTTCATTCATTTTCATGATCTCTACTGAGCTCTCTACAAGTGCTCAAATGCATCTGTCTAGCTATGGCCTAAGCCATATGGTGGTCAGATTTTTAAAGGACATTTTCCAATTTCATATCAGGACCCCTTGTAGGTGGCTGGAAATCATCACAGTCACCCAACTTGCACTAGTGCAGACTCAATTTAATTTACTCTTCTCTCCATGCTATCTCCCCCTGAACATTAAAACATTTGGATACTGGGGACTTCCCTGGTGGCACAGTGGTTAAGAATCTGCCTGCCAATGCAGGGGACACAGGTTCGATCCCTGGTCCAGGAAGATCCCACATGCCGCGGAGCAACTAAGCCCATGTGCCACAACTACAGAGCCTGTGCTCTAGAGCCCGCGAGCCACAATTACTGAGCCCACGTGCCACAATTACTGAAGCCCACGCGCCTACAGCCTGTGCTCCACAACAAGAGAAGTCACTGCAATGAGAAGCCCGCGCAACACAACGAAGAGTAGCCCCCACTCACCACAACTAGAGAAAGCCCGCGCACAGCAACAAAGACCCAACGGAACAAAAATAAATAAATAAATAAATAAATAAATAAATAAAACAAAAAACATTTGGATACCGTCTGTAATCCACTCTTGTTTTTTTGGACAAGTAACAGATCAACTCAACTCTGAAATTTCAAATACAATCCAACTTCCCTATCTATACTGTATTATTCTGTATCATGACATCTTAAATCAAAAGATTCTGGAGAAAATATTCATCAGGCTCTATAGTTTATAATTGATATTTCAACAAGATTCTGTTTAAGAAAAAAAAACCAGACTATTTATTGAGTAGCAAGCGCTTAATCTAATCCATTGACTTGAGCCCATTCATAGCTTCTGGAATCCATTAACTCCCTTAAAATTGTTTGTAAAATTTTGTGAGTCTGGTCTAGTGGGTGGCAACCAGCCTGTATTTATGTCCTAAAGAGCAGTGGTTCCTGAGCCTGGCAGGTCCTCAGAGTAGTGCTACTACTCAAAGTATGAACTATGGATCTGGCCCATCTGCAAACTTTTACCAGACAAGAGGAGTACAGAAATATAGACTAAGTTTAGAAACTATTTTCTTTGATATGGCTATGTGACATTGCCATGACATCCAAGTGTGCAATCATTTTTCTAGTAACTAATTTTACTGTATTTTAGAAAAGTATTGGTATCGGTTTATGACACATTGGAAATGAAAGAGAATAAAGTGGCCTTTTACTAGAGACAGTTTAAGAGCCATTGACCCCGGTCCCCATGCATGAGGTTTTAATTTCCTAAGTCCAAAGTAGGTCCCAGGATTCTCTCTCTAGATCTTAAAAAAAGGTTATCAGGTGACTCCAATGTTTTGCTAGGGATGGAAATCACAGTTATAGAGTCCACTAATTTAGAACCATATCTTTTATTTTCCATGGTTGTTGCTTTTGTATTTTGGGGCTAGGAGCCTATTAAAAAGAGCTGACCAAAGTTTTAAACTTGCTCATCAGAGAAATGCACCAAGCTCAGTCAATTCAGCAATTTCAGGAGGTTCACAGATGCCTGGTGGCAAACTCCTACTGCGAACATCCAGGGAGGAGGGGAAAGAGGGTGAACCCATGGTAAGTAATGAGTCCCTACACTGCTATTGACCCAGAGCCTTTGGAGAGTGCAGGCCAAACTCGGTGGAAGAGTGGCTGGCTGCAGCTCTGAGCAGCTCTTCACCCAGCTACCATGCTTCTCTAGCTTATTAATCCTGTGAAACTCTATGCAAGCACTTTACTAGGACAAACATTTTCAAAGACAGCTTTTACACCATTACCTACCACTATAAAATACTTGCTTCTGAAAGCAATGAGTAGACAAGAAACAGATTTACAAGGTATGATGACGACCCATTCTAAACTTTAAACACTTATCTTCAGAAATACATGGACTATTTCTTTCTTTTTCTTTTCTTTTTATTTATTTATTTTTTGGCCACGTGGCATGTGGGATCTTAGTTCCCTGACCTGGGATTGAAACCATGCCCCCTGCATTGGAAGCATGGTGTCTTAACCACTAGACCACCAGGGAAGTTCCACCATGGACTGTTTCTAAGGACACAGGACTTCTAAGAGGACTCTTAAAACTTGACAACCACCTTTGATAAAGTATGAAATACACAGATGTAATGCAAGATTAATACAGATTAAAATATGTATAAGACTCACTGAGTCTTATATTCTGTGCTTCTGGTGTGAACTAACAATTATTATACCTGATTACCAAGACTGACTCTGAGCTTCCTGTCAGCTAAGGGAAACGGGACACATACATTCCTTAACTTTTTAAGTTGAGAAATGTAGCAGTTTAAAGGTCATTACATTTGCGTGCATGTGTATATATGGACATATGTGTATGTATATATATACACACAGATATATGCTTTATATACATATCTCTGAAAAAATATATATATATATAAATTCCTTATACAGATGTTTTACAAAGAGAAAGGCAAGCAGTAAACTTTTCCATGCTGCTCTTGCCTCCCCCCACCCCTTCTCTGTCTCCCTTCCTCTGTCTCTCTAGTTTGTTTATTAATCGCATGAAGTTCCACATCAGTCCATCCTTTATTAGGGCTGGAGAGAGGTGGAAAATTACTTACTTTTCTTCATTTCTTCATTTCCTTTACATATAGTTTGTTTCAGCTGTTCAATCCTCATCTTGCAGGACATTATTTTCCATCTCTTAAAAAAGGTATGAAATAAATATCACAAATGTTGGTCTCTAATGACTAATATGATTATCTACTGGGGACACTACTTATTTTGAGGTGTATCTTAGAAAATGTAATGAATAAAAGATCAGTATAATTATATTTCTTATAGCTTGTAACTAGTGGATTACAAAAAAGAAAAAAATGTTACTCTGGTTCAGTGCAGAAGCTGCTAGGAAATTAAGAGAGAAAGAGAAATTCACACAGTTCTTTTATGTGTTAATAAGCACAAAGAAAAGTGTTGAAGGATATTCTCTTAACCTGCCCTGCCCAATATATAGCTACAGGTCCCATGTGGTTACCTGCAAGTCAATTAGATTATATGAAATTTTAAAAAAATCCAGTTCCTACTCCCACTACCCACGTCAGGTGGTACATGTCAACACAAGCGGCTAATGGCTACCATATCGGGCAGTGTAGACAGAGAACGTCTGCATCATCAGAGTTCTATGGATGTGCTGCTCTAAATTCTCAGTGCTGGTTACTGCGGGGACCACCAACTGTGTTATCTCACTGACACAATAAGCAAAGATTACTCGCAAAATAAGAAAAACTGCAATAAAGCAGAAGTTTTTTTTTTAAGTTTATAACTCATGTAAGATTTCTTGAAAAGCCTCAAAAAGTTATATGAAACTGCAATTTTATATTACCAGGATTTAGGTACAGCTTCTCCAAAGAGAATAAAGGATAAGTAAAAATCTGCCCTACTAGTTTTAAAAGAGTATTATTTATCTATTCCACAATGCCTCCATAAACGGGGATAATTGAAAGCGTACAACAACAGTCAAATGCCTATAATGTTTCACACTTGTCTAAGTAGTCCGATGGTACAAGATACAGAGTAGATTACAGGAATGTTCAGTGGGTAAAACTCTCCCCTCTCCAGTGGGGTGAGAGAAACATCTGAGAACACATGCACGGGAACTGATGGATTCAGGAATAAATTGGAAATGAGATGTCTTTACTTTTAAAAGGTATTCGTCTTTAAGAATCAATATTTAAATTTTTGATAGAAAAACTAGAAAACTTAGAACTTAGAAAAACTGGGATGAGATTCTTTATAAACAGCCTTTTATAACCTTTTTCCATACAACTTGTTTATATAACATTCAGAGCATAAGCAGAATTCACTTATATCACATCTCTTTAAGTATCATTTAAAAATTATGAAGGATGCTTATTATTATTATGAAAAAAGTTAAGCAACACAAAAGAGAAGAAAGAGATTGTTAACCTGACTCCTTCCCACTCTTCAGCGTTGATCTCAATTAAAGTTTGATATGTATTTTTTAAGATATATATTTAAAACACATACACAAATGGAATCATACTTTACCCTAGCCTGCTTTTTGTTTGATTGTTTCATTAAAAAATATACCTTGGACATCATTCCATACAAGTGCATGTAGACTGACCACATTCTTCTCAACAGCTACACAGCATCATAATCATCTCATTCTGTTTGATGAGTATTTAGATTATATATTAACTTTACTACCAATGATGCAGACAATCAGCCTCTTTATCCATAAATCTCTACATTCATGTATATTTTCTTAGGAGGAAAATTGCCGATATACCACATGTGCATTAAAAACACCAACAAGCCACCACCAAATTGTCCCCCAAACAAATATGTCAATATACACTCCCACCAACAGTGAATAAAAGTATAATCAATCAAACTCCTTATTTTCATATGTTGTACTCATTTTTTCCCAGTTTATATTCATTTTGCTACGGTCTTTAACATACAGAACTTTTAAACTTTTATGTAGTGTGTCAAATATTTTCCTTTATGGCTTATAAAGGTCTGCTCACCCCCAGATTATATAAATACTCTCCCATATTTTCTTTTAATATTTGAGTTTATTTTTCATATTCAATCATTAACCCATCTACAAAGTAGGTGTTTACGATGAGTAATTTTTTAAAAAAGGACACCTCACTGTTCTTATAACTTTATGTCAATACCAGACTTCATAATTATTCCTTACAGTGGTTCCATAATTAATTGCCAAAACCCTGTTTTTGGTACCTGGATGAAATATCTGAGAAGCCCACACTACGAATATATTCACAGAGAACTGCCAAAAAATGATCAAAAATAAATTTAAATTCGAAATGATTTTTTAAGTTCTGCCAATTTAAAAACATGTAACCTCAAGTGTAAAGAATATTATTTAAATTCTTCTTATAGCTTACCAACTGATCTGTTATCCATTTTCCTTCCATAGCTTTTAACACTCTGTATGGAGAAGAGACAAAGGAAATATGCTCTTAAAATAATGAATTCGGTGAAGCTCAAAAATGCAAAATCAACAACTTTTTAAAATGAGGTCTTAGAAACAGCTGGATATACCAACGTGGGATGTAAGCACTGAAAAATGTTTTCCAGATTCCCTGCTCTCTTCAATTTTTTCTCACCTCCTTCCTTTTGCACTTTTAATACAGCTCAGAGCCTTTCTATAAACGTTCACAATAAACTTCCATAACAGCCATAGCCTTTGTCCTCTGTCATAATCAATAATTTCCATCAGTCATAATTAATAATAATGATAGTTACAAGAGAATTCATGGTCCAAATGCTTTTGTCAGCTCCCCGCAAAATGGCACAAGCCATGGGAGTTCCCTGGTGGTGCAGCTGTTGAGAATCCACCTGCCAGTGCAGGGGACATGGGTTCGAGCCCTGGTCTGGGAAGATCCCACGTGCCGCAGAGCAACTAAGCCCGTGCACCACAACTACTGAGCGTGCACTCTAGAGCCCGCGACCCACAACTACTGAGCCCGTGTGCTGCAACTACTGAAGCCCGCGCGCCTAGAGCCCGTGCTCCGCAACAAGAGAAGCCACTGCAATGAGAAGCCTGTGCACCACAACGAAGAGTAGCCCCTACTCGCCACTAGAGAAAGTCCGTGCACAGCAACGAAGACCCAACACAGCCAAAAATAAATAAATAAATTAATTACTTTTTTTTAAAAAAAAAAGGCATAAGCCAGCTTAGGCAAAAATTTGTTCTAAGGAATGAAGTGTTCTATAGGAAAAAATAAGTTTCCATGATAGAGTAAGTTAGAGAAATGACTGAGTTAAATAAATCTAAGCAGGTTTTTCTAATGCAGAGTATCTCTGAAGATTTCATCTACTCATAAATGTGTTAATCAGGTCTGGGGTGTGTATGGAGAATAGTGACTGGATCAGTTTGGGATAAAAGGTTCTACAGGACAATTCCCAAATCCAGAGGATGAGAGATTCATCGGGTGCTCATTAATACTCAGATTCCTGGGCCTACCCCCAGACCTACTGAATCAGGATATCTGAGGACAGGATTCCAAGAATCTACATTTTTAACCAGTACCGAAGTTAATGAATTCTGATGTAGATGTTCTGCAGACCACACTTTGCAAAACCCTGATACAGAAGAATAAAGATAAACAGAAGCAATAATGTCCTACAAGAGCCACCACTGCTAGTCTAATATGCCTTCTGTCCTGGACCCATTTACAATACGTCAATTATCAGGGCCAGCGGTTTGATTCATCCATCCAGTCACTGCCTGCTGTGAACCAGGCACCAGGTTTGATCCCAGTGTTTTCTAGAAACTTGATCATTTCTCCTATTTTGCTTCTCCCAGATGTACTGCTCTTCACATGGGGAGATTTGTAACCTAAATTCAATAAATTAGCAATCCACATGTATGCATACCACAGCACTGAATTAAACCATGTGGTGACAAGACAACCTCCACAAATTAAAAAACAAAATGAAAACTCACTCTTTTTGAAATTCTTCTTGTTTGCTCTTAAGTTGGCTTAACCTTTCCTTCTTGTCTATAAACCTGTAAGAAAAAAATTCAGTGTTTTATTTAAATGTTTTTTTTTCAGTTGAATGAGATTATGCAAATTCCTGAGAGCCAAACATTTCTGCAGACTCATCAGGAAATGTCACTGTCCTGAACATATCTTCTCAATGGCACACAGCTGCTTGCCATTTGGTTATTTAAAACTAAGTTCAAATTCTCAGCTTTAAAACTCTTTCATGGGTTTATAAAATATGCCTATAGGTTTTTTTCACCCCTAGGTTAAATTGTCCTCCAAAACAGGTAAATCAGAGCACTAAAATGAATCGGAATTCAAGAAAACAGAGGATTCCACTATAAAAATAATTGTAATTATTAAGCTTAATTTAACCCTACTCTCATTTATAAATTGGTTCCTTATAATTCTTAAAGTACAATTTTTTTCTCACTAATTTTACTGCTAGTCACTACGGGCTAGCAATTTACTTAATAAAAGTTATCAAAAGGAAAGAATATCACATTGCAGTTCATTTTTGCTGTCTGTCACTATTCTACCCTTATTCTTATTTTCTTCCTGCTACCTTATGTGGGATTAGTTTGCTTTTTTGTTTTTTTTTGCAGTTTAAGGTAGGAACTAAAATCATCAACTTTAAGCCTCTCCCTTTTTAATATAAGTATACAGAGTTATAAATTTCCTCCAGAAGTATTGCTTAAGCTAAACCCTAAACATTTTGATATCGTGTATTTTACCACTTAGTTTGACATTTCTAATCTTCCATCAAATTCCCTCTTTGACCAATGAATTATTTAGAAGTGTATTGTTCAATTTCCAGATATATGGTTTTTTTGGTAACGTACTGTTATTTTTCTACTTTAATGCTGATGTGGTCCCAGAATATTCTCTATGAGATTTTAATCTTTTGATTTGAGACTATCTTATGGCCTTGCATATGGTGTGCCGCGTCTTGGTCAAAGTTCTACGTGCACTTGAAAGAACATGTTTTCTATAGCTGCTGGATACAGAGTTCTATAAATGTCAACTAGCTGAAGGTGGCTAGCAGTGATACTCATATCTTCTAGGTCTATGCTGTTCAACACGGTAGCCATCAGGCACATGTGGCTACCGAGTACCTAAAATGACTTGTTGCTTAATAAGAATTTTAGGTAAAAAAAAAAAAAAAAAAAAGTATGACTAACATCATGCAACTGATTTTGAATTGAACTAATGGTGGCTCGCTACTTTCAAAAAAACAAAGGTAATGCCACATGCTACAGTAACATGGTGTGGAGTCCAAGATTAGGCCTTTGGCTATCTCGTGAAAAAATGAAAACAATTTAATAGAACCATAACAGCCCTAAAAATCTCTTCCTTAAAATAATCCAGACATAAAAGTCTCTCTAACATACTATTTCTATAATCCCACATTTGAAACATACCCTGATATCTACTTCTAAATGGAAGGGATAAAATGGTCTAATTATGACCCTACCATTTAATAGTCAGTCACTGAAAATGTACAATGTATATTAAACAAGAAACCAAATCAGACAATATTACATGTGACAGAATTATATACTTACATGACTAAATTAAAATTAAATTAAAAATTCAGTTTCTCAGCTGCACTACCCACATTTCAACAGCCACATATGGCTGGGGGCTACCTTACTGGATGGCATAGATACGGAACATCACTGCACAAAGTTGTATTGGGTAGCACTGCAATGGCCAGTAAGGTGGTAACTACATGAAACAATATTAGAAAACTCAGAAACCAGTGTGGAATGTGGACAAATTCATAGATTCATCAATTAATTTATCAGGCATTTACTAGGTGCCTGCAACTTATGACAAAGCATTTTACAGAACGTTAAGAAATCTAATCTTTCATTTTTCTGCAACTGGCTGTGAACTAGACAGGTTACTTGTTATATGCTTCCATTTCCTTCTGTCAAAAATGAGAAACGAATGTGGTATTTACTTCTACCTAATGTGGTGATTCATGCTCCGATAAGCTGAAGGAGATGACAAACTCACAAGACTCATCCACCTGTGTAAACAAAGGACTGACATGAAGGATAAAATCCTGCTTTTAGGGGCTATAAATCAGATCTGTTGTAAAAAATGCCACTTTGCACTAAAACAAATTGGGATGATAACACTGTCCAGCTTTATATCAAGCTGGTTAGTTCTCTTGGGTTTTGTTTAAAAAAAAAACCCAAAACAAACAACAAACTTAAAACATAAACATACAGAGGACAGCAGGAATAACAAACAGAAGATAACAGTTCCTACTGTATCAAACACTTCATGAGTAATGTCATTCTTCATGAAGGAAATGAAAAATAGGTGGTGTGAACAAAGCAAAAGCAGATGGTTATCAACAAATGCAGCTGGTCAGCGAGCCAACTGCTCACCAGCGCCTCATCCATCCTCTGCATTCTCCATCCCAGGACTCACAGAGATAGATTAGGAAAAAAAAAGAAAAAAGAAAAAGGAAGGGGAGAAAGGCCTTTTTTATATACTGTCTTTGAAGCTAGGTTTATCACATAAAATGTTTTGTATCTTTTTTCACTTCAGAACATAAAGACCTATCTCATTCTTTAACAGGTACACAGAATTTCACTGAATGGACATCATATAATTTATTTACAGAAATACCTACTGATGAACATTGCCACCGCTTCCAAATTTTCACTATTATCAGTAATGTTAGAAATGAATATCCGGGTGCATTTAGGTTTACATGGCAACTCCTGGCAGTTATCTTTAAATTTCCTCGGAATCATTTCATATTATATTTACAACCCTACCAACCTGTTTTCTTACTCGCAGCACTGCCCATTTTACTCTTTGCTAACCTGACTGGCCTCCCATTCCCTCTCTTCAAAGACAGTTCACAATTCATTTATTGCCTTTCTTCATTTCACAGTTAGAAATGTTTAACACCTTTTCCTATCTTATTGGCTACTTTTCTTTTGTTATCCCCCTATGCCCTTTGTTAACTTTTCTATAGTTTTTTTTTTTTTTAATTTTTGGCTGCACTGGGTCTCATTGCTGTGCACGGGTTTCCTCTAATTGCGGTGAGCAGGGTCCACTCTTCATTGTGGTGCGCAGGCTTCTCATTGCGGTGGCTTCTCTTGTTGCGGAGCACGGGGCTTCCTCTAATTGCAGTGAGCAGGGTCCACTCTTCATTGCGGTGTGCAGGCTTCTCATTGCGGTGGCTTCTCTTGTCGCGGAGCATGGGCTCTAGGCACGTGGGCTTCAGTAGTTGTGGCTCGTGGGCTCAGTATTGTGGCTCATGGGCTCTAGAGTGCAGGCTCAGTAGTTGTGGCGCACGGGCTTAGTTGCTCTGCGGCATGTGGGGTCTTCCCTGACCAGGGCTTGAACCCGTGTCCCCTGCATTGGCAGGTGGATTCTTAACCACTGCGCCACCAGGGAAGTTCTATAGTTTTTTTTAAAAGGGTTATTTATTAGAGAAATTATCTATTTCCTTTCATACATCTTGCAATTATTCTTTCTCAATCTGCTTGGTGACTACTTATGTCTCTGCTCTACAAATTTTCCAAAATTTTATGCAGATACATTTATCAATTTTGTTGTTGTTGTTCAGTGGCTCTACAGTTGTCTATTGTTTTCCAAAAAGAATCTGCTCGTAAACCTATACCATGCATCAGGGCTTTTACAACACTATTCCTTCCTTCCTTCCTTCCTTCCTCCCTCCCTCCCTCCCTCCCTCCCTTCCTCCCTCCCTCCCTCCCTTCCTCCCTCCCTCCCTCCCTTCCTCCCTCTTTCTTTCTTTACTTATTTATCTATTTAAGCCGGGTCACAGTTGTGCCACGTGGGATCTTCGTTGTGGCATGCAGGATCCTTTTTTTTTTTTTTTAGTTGCGGCATGTGGGATCTAGTTCCCTGACCAGGGACTGAACTTGGGCCCCCTGCGTTGCAAGCGCGGAGTCCTAGCCACTGGACCACCAGGGAAGTCCCTACAACACTATTTCTTATATTTTCCTTCCCAATTTAAAAATGCCTTCTTTGTTATTTACCAAATTCCTCCACACTTATATTTGCTTTTCTTCCCTACAAAAGTACTCCCTTAAGCTGACTTTAAAAAGTGCCCCCGTGATAGAGACTGATGAAAACTAGGAGCAGATGGTCATACAGAGTCTGGGTTGTGTGCCATCTCTTGTAGTCAACAGTGCTACAAGAGATGGCACACAACCCAGCTCAGGCTTCAGAGGGAGCTCTCCAGCAGTCACGTTTGCCTGGGCTGCCCCTTGAGGACAGGTTAGAGGTGGCCTTGCTAAGGGAAGGAAGGCATTATAGGCAGAGGACATTCTGCTGTTTCACAGGTGAGAAGTTAATCTGTCCTGCCCTAGAGAACCTCGATACACCAGCGGGACAGCAGGGACAGGAGTGTGCTGCTGATAAGGATCAGTTAAGAGTGTGACCCTCATCACTCCACGCTATCCCATGGCCACACGTCGTCCTGGGCGACTGAGTGGATGTGGCTACAGGTGGGACTGGTCACCTAAGTCTGTCCCACGCGATCAGAAAAGTAGCACCTGGGCATGCACTCTGTCAGGGATCCTACTATTCTGTGCTAGATGATCATTAACATCGTCATAACACCTACAACTTACTGACCACTTACTTAGTGTCTTTCATAAAATAACTCTAATCCCTCCATCCGCCTTCTCAGTTCTTTCCCTCATCCTTTGTGCCTAGGGTAATGGCAATAGAAAAGTCCAAGAAACACTACTAACGTATTTTAAGAAAGGTAAAACAAACAAACAAAAAACACAAAACTTTCGAATATGCCACTGAGGGCCTTAAAAATTAGCAAACTCTTTGAACCAGTTATGCAATTCAAGGAAAAGATCAGAGGTGACGAAGAAGATTTCTGCCAATTGTGGAATTAGTCATAATAGCAAAAACTGGAAACAACTTTAATGTCCAAAAGGAGAATGATTATCAAACGACACCATATTGCCATGAAGGACATCAAAATATTTTTGTAGACAAAGACATTAGTATG